TGAATCAGCCAAAACTTGATCGCATTTTCAGTGTCCAAGCCAGAAAAAAACTATGTCAGGAAGACCAAGATTTAGACTTGATAGAATTTTTATGGAAGCCAATGCTTCTTACTGGGACCAGATCATAGCAGACAAGCTGCAGGCAAAATAGGTGAAACGTATTCTTCTTCAGTGTGCCCACACTCTCATAAGCCTTTGAAGCCAGATTTCTGACTTCCTAACTGTCTGATAGCAGAGATGTTGAATGACTGGCCTCATTTGTATACTGTACTTTGTAATTGTATATTCACAATTGTATATTGTAAATCTGGGCACCAGCTGGCCCTTCCAGTGCCGCTGGCAAGCTGGATGGCATCCTAACCAAGGACAGTGCTGCTCTGGCACCAGCCCATGACTGCACAGCTACAAAGCATGTGCCGTAATAAACATAAGCTACAGCCCAGCACACTTACACACTAAACAAGTCTTCAAAACACTTTCTGCTCCCTTCTATAGGAAGACAGCCAGCCTATGTTGCTGGCACCCAAGTGCTACCTTGTGACACTCCTGCTCTAGAAAGATGGCACAAATAACCTTATCTGGAGCCAATACCTGCTTCACCCCCACACCCCTCTGCTGAGGAAAACCAGCAAGGCAGCATCACTTAACGAGAGCACCTTCACATGGTGTGTGACACAGTGCTTTGGCTCTCAGTGATAGCAGAAGTCCAGTCTACACTGTGTCTGGGTGCCACCATCATCATTTTGCCTGTGGGGCAAAAAAAATGGCTTGCCCGACAACCCAAATGACATGGAAGCCTGTCACATCAGTGCCTGGAGTGTCACCAGCCAGGGAGGTGGTAGATTGCAGACCAGCTGCATATGCACTGCATGCTCCAGAACAATTTGTCCATTCATAGGTACCAAACAGAGTTCTGGCTGGAGTGGATGGGGATGTGTACATTGGTCACATTGCTCCCTCCATCTTACCAGCGGTCACAGGGAGCACTGGCAAACAAATAGGAAAGGGCGGGAAGCAGAAAGCACGCAGAACTGCTGGCGTGTCATGGGGAGGAAGAGTGAGTTGTTCACAGCATCAACATGCTCAGCGGCTCGGCCGAGACACTGCCCGCCGGCTTCCGCGTCACCAGCCTGGTGCCTCTGCCCCCCTCTCTGCCGCCCCCTGTAAATGCAGAAGGGAAAAACAATTGAACACGGAATTGCTGCACCTCCTGCCTAACTGCATCTAAAAACGCATTTAGAGCTTCTGCATCATTCATATATCTGAATATCTCAATAACATTAGTTTTAGTAAAAATCTTAAACTGGATTACAACCCTTGATTCCTATATTTATGCTCTGGTTCTCATTTCTTTTTTACATTTCATTTGTTAATACGTCCTAAAAGGGGCAGACTTTTTTCATTCCTTGATTAAAGTTATGCTTTGTAACATTCCGGTTTTCACTATTCTTTCCAAACGATTTTATTCTTTCATCTTTTTTTTTTTCTTACATTTTCTTGTACATTATGTATCTTTCCGTAATAATACAACGTATGTAACGAACAATTAATATATCTTCCAGAGTAATTTTATCCTTTTTCATACTGCACAGGAATGGCCATAGAAAAGGAAGTAAAATTTCACAGTGGAAAGAGAAAAATACTTTCTAAAAAAGGTTTAATAATTATTCTCACACTGTCTAAAAAAGTTTTAAATCTATAATATATGAGTGGTTTTCGCAAATACACAAAAATCAGTGATAAGTAATGTATTTTATAGGTGGTAGAGAGTAGACAGAAAGAACAAAGACTCGGAGGGCTGGGCGGTAACTAGCAATGGCGGGATTTTTAAACTTTGAATGCACCAATCAGATTCAGCATGTCCACATCCGCCTATCAGAGAAGGGCCTTCTGCTATATAAACGCCTGGAGTATCAGCACTCTTGTCGGTTGTACTTGGAGTAGATTTTGGGTATAGAGCGATGGCGCGTACGAAGCAGACAGCGCGTAAGTCGACAGGCGGGAAGGCGCCCCGCAAGCAGCTGGCCACCAAGGCGGCCCGCAAGAGCGCGCCGGCCACGGGCGGCGTGAAGAAGCCGCACCGCTACCGGCCCGGCACGGTGGCGCTGCGCGAGATCCGGCGCTACCAGAAGTCGACGGAGCTGCTGATCCGCAAGCTGCCCTTCCAGCGCCTGGTGCGCGAGATCGCGCAGGACTTCAAGACCGACCTGCGCTTCCAGAGCTCGGCCGTGATGGCGCTGCAGGAGGCGAGCGAGGCCTACCTGGTGGGGCTCTTCGAGGACACCAACCTCTGCGCCATCCACGCCAAGCGCGTCACCATCATGCCCAAGGACATCCAGCTGGCCCGCCGCATCCGCGGTGAACGTGCCTGAGGTTCCCCCCACGGTCGTTCCTCCGTCATCCTTCATTTCTACCCTAAAGGCTCTTTTAAGAGCCACTACATTGCAGAAGAGGGCTGTTAGCACGGTCGGGTTTTTTGATATTGTCTTGCAAAGCTAAATCGTTAAGTTCTTAACAGGTAAGTGTAATGTAATTTGTTGGGATGGTTTCAGAAGTACTAACATCCTAGCATTTAGTTTGTTTCCCCTCCCACTCTCCCCAGCTCTACTTAGCTGATTTCTCTGGACATGTCAAGAGGCATTTGAATTGAGATTCAACAATATAGAAAAGATTACTGCTAACTGCACAAAATAATAGCAAGACAACTTTTTAAGTATGAGGAGTCATGATTCTTCCTCTCCAGATCTGATGCTTCCTGTAAATATCTTTTGTAATGGTTTTAAGGAGCAGTGCAGGTTTTTGCTTTTAAACAATGAAAGGTGTCACCCGAGTTAGTGGACAATAAGCTTTTTATTAAAGAGAAATCGATGTAAATATACTCTTAGAATATACTCAAAGTCCTAACAATGTGTTGGGTATCTGAGAGCCCTACCTCTTAAGTATGAGATGAATAAAACAAAAGTACTAAGAAGCCTCATGAAAGGTATAAACATGGGAAATTGAATAAATTAGTCCAGTTATCATTTATAATCTCAAATTTGTTTGCTTGATGACTTTGAGGCTGGAGTCGAGAATAAAGGAGAGCTTGGAAAAAGCAAAGAACCTGGTGGATGGATGTTCCTGGGAAGTCCCCCCTCCAAATTTCTAAATAAATGGAGATCACTGGCACAGGGGAAAGTTTTTGTGGCTTTCATATGGGACCAAAACAGCTCAGGGAAAGGAAGCATCTGTCAAGCCCTGGCAGTTTTGTAACCAATGAGAGTCTTGTAGGAAATATGTCATTTTGAGATTTGAGGACAAGTGTACTTATTGTGTTGGATGACAAAAAGGAAGGTGGACTCTAAAGGAATACACGTAGAGGAATCAGAAGGAAACATCAGAATTTAGTTGATTCAATAAAGTTTTTTTACTTAGAAAAGTACAGTTGGCCTTTAGTTTCCTTTAATTTCTTGACTGATTGTGTCGTCTTGTACTCTTTAGGTGTTTTAATATTTCAGAGAAATAACCTTTTCAATTAATTCACAAATAAAACGTTAAGATTCCTATGGTTTTTGCTTCTTTTCCTATGCCCTTGGTAATAGAGTCTAGCCTGTCCAATATGCTTCCTGTACCAGCCAAATTGGTCTGAAATGGAAACTCAGGTATTTGAATATGGCATCTGGGAAACTGCAAGAAGGTTCATAGAGTGTATTTCTAAAATACAACACAGGAAGTAAAATATTGCAGATGCAACTAATATTCATAGCATAATGATGTAGATATGAATTTACATACCTACACAGAAAGTACTTATTTTGCATGTATATAAACACATATATATGCTTTTCCTTCACTCACAAATTTTAATTCTTCTCAGTATCTGTCTACCTGTTTTTCCCAGTCCTCTCTGCCCTATCACCACCTGGCTTTATCCTACTGGCTTTCTTTTTTGCAGTCCAAACAATATGATAGAGTAGATCAGATGAAAAACTCTACTTTGCAATTGAACCAGATTACTGTTATAGGTCCTTTCCAACTGAATTATTCTGCTTCATTCCATTCATCTCTTTGTACATCACTACTAAAGAGGCACAATTTTATACATTTGATAGTGGAAGTGCTCCTGCTGGAACAGCACAGAGACTGTACCTATAAGTGTAATTTGAAAGGAATTATATGATTATAATTTTAAAATTAACTATACGTCTGGCTACGCTCTATTCAGTAGTCTCCATCCTGACTTTTTTTTTCCACATTGGCAGTGTATTAACTACAACGACTTCCATTTGTAGCAAGGCACCATTTAGAGGTTAGCAAAGGTTACAATGTCTACAACCTCAGACTTATTACATTGTAAATAAATAGAGTGAGGTCATGGGGTGAACAAAAATTATCTTGCTGAAATAGACACAGGTGCCTGCTTATAGTGCACACAAGCTCTGTAAGGAGCCCTCCCTGGTACCAGGCTGTGGAATCTGCTCTCAAAAGTGAATGAGGAAATAATTCATCATGACTGGTAAGTTGTAAATATGTTGTCTGTGTTCTGGGTCACACATCTTTTCTCATCCACCCCAGTGCTGCCTCTGACAGAAGGTGTATATAGCACAGGAAGCATCTCTAAGGGAAATGATGCAAATGATGCTCAGAAGCCACTAATGACAACAGGTGACCGCTCAAAGCATCCTTCAGTGCTACCCAGCACTCAGGTCTGTTACACCCCAGGTACCAGCTGTGAGTTTTCACACACGGGGAGAAGCGAAGATGTTTCCCAAAATAATGGGAGTAGTAACTCCTTTATGAACATGAGACCTAATTTTTAACTTCCTATTTTAGTGCTCAGGCTCTTGTTAGACTGGTCAGTCCTGTGGGCATGTCTCATAGCAAGAGGTGGGTCCTTATGAAGAAGGTTGAAAGCTTCATACATATAGACATATATCGTGCCAGTATCTTCCGAAGAACTCTAGAAATCCATTTGCAGAAATCTGACAAGTCAGCATGTTTTCTGACTGCATAAAATCTTGCGATCACTACCTGGGAAACTGTAAGTTCAGTGACAAATGTGTACACTCATTATTGGAAGAATACACAAATTTTCACTGCAAGAGTTTTATAAACCTCTTATTAAAAATACACCCCACCAAAAAAACACCCCAAACCACAAAATCAAATAAAACAAAACAAAAAAGAACAAAAGAAACCCAAAAAGAAAACAAAACAATCCCCAAAACCCAAACAAAAGCTTCAGGAAATACATAGCCTTTATTCCACACTTTATAATTATCAATGGTAACAAATTCAGACAAACTTTATAGCTTTTTCTGTGTACAATAATTTTTAATCAGCTTCTTGACCTTTTTAGTTATGTTTCTGCATGCCCTTGTATCAACAGAGTCAGTCATCTACCATTCTGTGACTGGTCTCAAAACCGATCTTTTCAGACATAGTCTTGCTCCTGGCATTAACAGTTGTTGGAGCAAGGCAGCAGCCCCCTTTAAAACAGACTGCCTTAGCCAGGTTTTAACAGTAATACAATTCCAATGAGCTATGGGAAGTTTCTCCTCTTGCCTGGACCCAAACAGCCAGGAGAGTTTAAGGCAGAGTTCCTGACCCAGGGCCTGCCCGAACAGAAATGTGTGTTGCCCTCCACTCCCCCCTCTTGCTTAAAATTGCTTTGAACCCAGCAGTCATAGTGTTAAAAATTTCTATTCTGCCTGATATTCTCTGCTCACCATCCTTAAATATACTGACCTCAACCCCACCCTACAATTCTCTGTCCTATCCCACTCACTCAGCATTCATAAACTACCAAAAAGATCACCTCAGTATTTGTGAAGGACCCTGATGAATGGCAAAGCAGGAAATTGTACACCTTGTGGGATTTGCAAAACCTGTTTATAGATAGGCAATATAGTAAAATGTTTAAAAACAACAGAGAAACTGGGCCCATAAAATCAAATGCTATAGTCTAGGAAATAAAGATTTCTAAAACGTGCTATGTAAAAACAAGTGCTACAGCTCCTTCCCTTTCCATGTAGTGGCTCTTAAAAGAGCCTTTGGGTCTGTGTACGTTGCCTCGATGTCAGCTGGAACGAGGGAGAGGCCACAGTAGGAAGCCTCAGGCACGCTCACCGCGGATGCGGCGGGCCAGCTGGATGTCCTTGGGCATGATGGTGACGCGCTTGGCGTGGATGGCGCAGAGGTTCGTGTCTTCGAAGAGCCCCACCAGGTAGGCCTCGCTCGCCTCCTGCAGCGCCATCACGGCCGAGCTCTGGAAGCGCAGGTCGGTCTTGAAGTCCTGCGCGATCTCGCGCACCAGGCGCTGGAAGGGCAGCTTGCGGATCAGCAGCTCCGTCGACTTCTGGTAGCGCCGGATCTCGCGCAGCGCCACCGTGCCGGGCCGGTAGCGGTGCGGCTTCTTCACGCCGCCCGTGGCCGGCGCGCTCTTGCGGGCCGCCTTGGTGGCCAGCTGCTTGCGGGGCGCCTTCCCGCCTGTCGACTTACGCGCTGTCTGCTTCGTACGCGCCAT